GTGTTATGGCGTAGCGTGGTGTGGCGCGGTGCGTGTAAGGTTCAATTGCTCAGGGGCATACACTGGCAAACGCAGTCACACAAGCATGGAAAGTGCATACGCAGCTATTGTAGGTCCAGCTGGTGTAGGTGCAACGGCATGAAACAAGAGACAAAGAGAAACGGAGAGCATGTGTGGTGTCTCCCATGTGTAGTGTGCATGGATGGACAAAGGCATCTTCCTGCAGCATTTCTTGAACTCTGGGACAAAGCCAGACAGTGAGCACAACGAGAAGAACAACCCTGGGATTCCGCACTGCACTCACCCACTCCCGAATGTGCGCTGAGCTGCTGCTGCTATTGCTGCTGCTGCCACTGAAGCCGCTGCTCAAACTGTTGCTGCTGCCGCTGCCGCTGCTGCTGCTGCTGTAGCTGTTTGTGCTGATGCTGTTGCTGCTACTGCCGCCACTTCTGCTGCCAGAGCTGTTGCTTTGCTGATCGTTGATTGGAGCTGTGGGTATCAGGGCAGGCCGTCCGGTAATGAGCTGCAGCATCACCACACCAATGCTGGCAGGAGGGGATGGGGAGACGGGGGAAAGTGGAGAAGAGAATAGGGGCAGCGGGGGAAGGAGGGAGAGGTGCTCGATTGGTCAATGAACTGAGTTGATCATAAGTGACCAACAAGGGTTCGAGCTCATGCAATTGGCAGCTGAATACATGGTTCTGCCGAGTTGCCTATTTTTGCGTCGTCTTACGAATACAATTTTCCAGCCTTTGAGTTGCCTAAAGCGGCCGAATTACCAACATCCTGCTATTGAGTTAGCTTCAAAAGAGGTGGGGCGATAAGACAGGGAGAGGGGATCAAGAGAGGTGCATCCATAGGAAAGGATGCGAGAAACACAGCTGTTAAGATTTGAGAAAAGCTTGTCCGAGTGGATTTAAGAATCGAGGGCAAGAGAGGCCCAGACAAACAACACAGAATAATTATTGAGAATTCTCATGAGTAATTTTCTGTTGAGCAGCACGGACCTGAAAACGTCTGTGGAGGGTGTGGTGCGAGCAGAGATATGCAGGGCTGGGTCCATGTACGCATGGTTGGCAGGTGGCTGTGTCACCCTCCCTGCTGCTGCCACCCATGGTCCTGCTGATGGTGATCGCGCTGGTGATGATGCTGATGCTGGATCTGCTGCTGCTGCTGCTGCTGCTGGTGGTGGTGGCGGTGGTGGTGCTGTGATAGTGGGTGGGAAGGGGTCGGCCATTTTCACGGCCATGCAACCAGCCAAGACAGGCTGAGGAGAGGACACAGGCGTGGGGCAGTGGGGAGGGAGGCGAGGCGCAAGAAGCAGCGTGATTACTGGGGGATAAGGGAGAGACGTAGCTGAAGGTTGAAGGAAAGAAGGTGAGTGTGTGTAGTGGAAAATCTCACTTCACCTGCGTGTCACTCAGCACATCACCTGTAAGGCAGTGTCAAGCAGGATGTTGCGTGGGTGTATGCGGCCATGCACGACCCCATGGCTCTGGATGTGCTTCAGCCCCCGCAGCACACCGCCTGTCACATCCAGACACTGCCATGCGGACAGGGGCGCACAGCCCTCTGCATGGCGGATTGGGGAGCAAGTAAGTGGTGTTCCAGAAGTGGAGGGGATGAGCAGAGGAGAGTACAGGGAAGGGGGTGAGAGAGAGGGGGAGGAGAGCGGACAGTGGGGACAGGGGGGAGCAAAGGGAGATGGCATAGAACACGGGTGTCTATGCTGACCAAATAGAAGAGGTGTTGTGGGAGTGTTTCCGCAAGCACAGTGGATCAGACAAGCACCAGCAGATGTAAAAGTGTGCATTAAGCAAGCAGAGAGGCAGAGGACCCTTGGAATGGAGGGTGGGATGGGCATGGAGAGACTAGGGTGGGAGAGCGGCCTTGGCGAGGGTGTACCTGCAACGAGGAGGCTGTGCAGATTGCCTCCTGGCACCCACTCAAACACTAGCACCTGCTCCTCTGCTTGCTCCACCGCATGACTGGCAGCAGCAGCAGCAGCGGCAGCACTAACATTGTTAGCACTATCAGACCTAGCACATTCAGCATTATCAACGTCAGCAGCAGCAGTAGCAGCAGTAGCACCAACAGCAGCAGGAGGTGAGTCACGGTCAAGGGCGGTATCAGGCTTCTCCCAGCAATACCCCAGCAGTCGCTGCAGGTTGGTATGGCGGATGGACCAAAGCGTGGCCACCTGGGCAGGGAAGGACGCACCCACAAGGAGGCGGGAGGAAGAGATACATGAACAAGTTGAAAGAGGGAAAAAACATTTTCTGGCACCAAAACGGCTGATGCCGCCACCACCCAAAGCAGCAGCAGCAGCAGCAGCAGCACCAGCAGTGGATCCAGAGCTCGCTCACCTCTTTTTGGAAGTCGGTGGAAAGCTTGTCATTGCCGCGCCTCACAACGAACCACACCTGGCGCGCATCAATAGGACTCACTGCCTTGTACCTCTGCCCCCCACTGCTGCTGCTGCCAATGCTGGCACTGCTGCTGTGACCACTGTTGCTGCCCCACCCCTGCTTCTCCATCCGGCTATCCTCACTCCACCCACCCGTTGCCTGTTCCACTAGGGACATGGACAGCTGCGGACAGCAGGAGCGAGTGAACATGCGGGATGCTGAAGTGGGGAAAGAAGAGAGGAAGTGACGAGAGGAGGGAGAGCGGGTTGAGAGGAGGAGAGAATTCAAGTGGGGAACTTGATGGTGAGATGATGGCGAGGTGATGGTGAGATGATGGTGAGATGATGGTGAGATGATGGTGAGATGATGGTGAGATGATGGTGAGATGATGGTGAGATGATGGTGAGATGATGGTGAGATGATGGTGAGATGATGGTGAGATGATGGTGAGGTGATGGTGAGATGATGGTGAGATGATGGGGAGATGATGGTGAGATGATGGCGAGATGATGGCGAGATGATGGCGAGATGATGGCGAGATGATGGTGAGGTGATGGTGAGGTGATGGTGAGATGATGGTGAGATGATGGTGAGAAGCAACGATGTCATCAGCGGCTGGCAAAAAAGAAAACGATGATTGTGGTTGGCAAGAGCAGGGGACGCAAATGCGCTAGTGTTTGGTTGGGCGCAATGATAACTGCAGTGACAAGCATCGAACGAGGAACCATGATGACATGGATGACAGCAGAGGAGGCAGCGGTAGCGGCAGCGTCGGTGGCGGTGGTGGCGGCAGCGTCGGCGGCAGAAGCAGCAGCAGCAGCAGAAGTAGCAGCAGCAGCAGCAGAAGTAGCAGCAGCAGCACCAGCAGCAGAAGCGAAGCTGTGGCATTGAACAATGAACCATGGCATGATGGCACAGGTGGCGAGAAAGAGAGACAGCCACGAGGGACAGGGAACGTATGCTACAAGAAGAAAGTAGAACATAGACCGCCAGACCATGCTCTTCCATGTCTGAGCCACCGCAAGTGGCACTTACCCTTTAGTGCCTTGCCACAAGCTTTTGAAAGTCGTTTCACAGTACTGAGCATGCTCTTACTTGAGGCAGCTAGGGGCTGTAGTTTCGACCCCTGGAGTTCCGTCCTCACACAAACAGCAAGTACGACAGCAGCAACAGCAGCAGCCACAAGCAGGCAGAACGCTCCCACGGATATCCCCATGATTGCAGAGGTTGACAAACCGGTGGAGGGTAGTGGAGCAGGAGGAGGGGCGAGTGAAGAGGAGACGGCAATTAGAGAGGAGAGAGGAGGAGGTGGAGGGCTCATGAGAGCGAGGTTGGGAGGGAGAGGAGGCAAGAGGGGAGGAGGGGGAGGAGGGTGGCGGCGTTGGCCTGTAAGGAGGAGATAGAGAAAAGGAAGTGGGGCATGGGAAGAACAAGCTATTGCTCCGATGAGCTAGAAAAACAAGCGGGGTGTGCAGGGATTGTGGAGGAGAAGAGGAGCTGTTGCTCTGACGAGCTAGACCCTGATGGTGATTGTCACGTGGACGTGCATGGTCAGATGGCATGGCATGATGACAGTAAGATATCACTCGCACGGAGGCACATGAGGTGCAATCCTATTTGCACTGTGAGATGCATGTGTGCGATGCGAGAAGACGTATGGGAGCAAGGCAGATTTTCACCGTTGAGTGGGATGCAAGAGGCACAGAAGTCAAAGCAGAGAGTCTTGCAGAAGAAGGAAGAAGCGTTCTGCTGAATCTCACAGCTGCTGCCAGCCCTGCCGCACATCACCCCTGCAGGGGTGATTCTGGAAAGGGCAAGAGGGTGGTTAGAAGAATGTTGCGACATGGAAAAGGGGCAAGGCGAGTGCAGTGCAGGGAGAGATGCAGCGCGTGCAGGGACCAACATTTCAGTTAAGTTGGGGAGAGCACCAAGTGAGGCAGGCAGCGACCCAGACATATAGGTGTTGCCGATGTTCCTGGAACAGGGCAGTGCAGTTGTGAGTTGTGGGGCGAGTGAAACAAGGAACAGAGTTGGAAGCAGTAGGTGGGGAGAGGTGGTCAGGACTGGCCGTGGCGCATGGCCGGCCCGATCCGCCCCTCTTGTCGGGCTGGCCTGGCAAAAACCGGCCTGCGCCCATGCAACTATATGCGAGACGGGGTCTGGTCATGCTGGGCCGGAAATTGCCGGGGCCGGGGCCGGCAAGGGTCGGGCTGGGCCGGACCAACGTACACGTACCCAAGGGCTGATCATGCCTAGTAAGGATCACGACACAGGGTGTGGAGATTAGCTTGTGCTTTCGATGAGAGTTGATCATGTGGAAAGCTAGAGGTGATCTGAATGAAAGAGGGTGGGCTTTAGCTGAGGTACACGCACTGTTTTGTGGTAGGGTCGTGTATTTGTTTGCGCGTGTGCTGTGTGGATGTGAGCGTGCGTCCGTGTGTGTGTGTGTGTGGGCGAGAATGTGTGTGTGTGTGAGAGAGAGAGAGAGAGAGAGAGAGAGAGAGTGTGTGTGTGTGTGTGTGTGTATGCGTGTGCGTGTGTGCGTGCGTGCAAGCAGTGTGCATGCATGCATGTGTGTTGCCCTCTGCATACTCACAACTTCCCCCCACCCCACATACACGTAGTGGAGATTGAAGAGATGACCAATAGTATTGGGGATAGAGCCACGGAGGTTAGTGTTGGCCGCTTCGCTGGAATGCAGTGCATTGCCACGTGGACAGGATGACGGGATGACACGTGAAGTTCCTCACTACAGTTCATCATCCCAACGAGGAGGGACAACAAACAAGGCATGCGATTGGTTGAAAGGCCTGATGACTTGTTGCGGACCAGGAGACAAGAGCCTCTTCATTACCACCAAATCCGCCTCCAGTGAGGGGCAACCACTAGATACAGTGAGCTATTCCTCTTTTTAATCTCCAGTCCTTGCTAGGGTGGAGCAGAACCTAAAGGCAGGATTCGGCACTCTAAAAAACGGCCTTGGCAGGGATGGGAGAGAGGGAGGGCGCTGACAAAAAGGTGAGGGAGGAGAGAGCCGAGATGGTGGAGGGGATGGAGCCGGAAATGGCAGTGCTGGATAGCATCCTGATGGCAGGGCATCAGGGGTGTGAAGCATAGAGAGGGAGGGGTTGGGGCAATGGAAAAGACGCGAATGTACATATGTGAATGGGGAGGGAGCGAATGTGTGGGAGGGGGGGTGTTGTGTGAGAATTTCCAGGGTAGAATGTGTTGTACAGGATCCGTCACTTCGAGAAGCTACGACGAACTCATTACTCAACTAAACGCAAATCCGCTCGGTAGGATGTTGCGCCTTAGGCTTAGCTACCATCTCCAATTTGAATCACTTAAAAAGATGGTCTAGAGAGTGAGAACCATTCGAAAACGTCAAGCTGCTGCATGACTAGAATGATGGAGGAAGTACAAGCATGAAGCATAGAAAGTTGGAGTTGGGGACCTCCAAGAGAACCATGAGAGGGAAGGGGTTCTCCAAGAGCTAGGGAAGGATGGTAGGAACCTTCCTAGCAGCAAGGATGCAACCCTCATCATGAGGTCCTTGAGGTGTCACATGCAAAATCCAATCTAGTTGGATTTTGCCTAGGTGTTGCAACATTTGCAACCCATGCTAGAAACTTCTAGCCACCCCAATCCAAAAGTCAAAGTTGCCTTCCTAACCACCCAACCAAAGATCCCTTTATAGTCATGTCCCAATAATCACCCAAATTAGATATAACCCCAAAGAGGTAATAAGAAATCCAAGTCTTGGAAATCTTGTAACTTGGGCGATCTTGGTCGGAATAAGGCGATCTTGGTATCGTTGGAAAGCTCTGGATTTCTCCTGCATGATCAAGCATTTAGACTTGGAGAAAACACAGAGATGATAATATCCAACAGCCATGCACAATGACATATGCTCATGCAAATCATGCAAGCACAAATAGCACGAGCACTCGGCAGGACGTTAGGATGACATGCACTCAGAATGACGTGCATCCAACAAACTCCCCCTCAGACTAACGGACTGCATGCACACACACTGACACGCATGCAAACACTCATGCACACAAACACACATGCACTCATGACACCGCTGCCCACACTAGTGCAATGCCATGCCACACATCTTGGCACACTTCCAATGTGCGCTCTCGGGAAGTCTCTTGGTGAGAAAATCTGCCGCCTGCTTGCTAGCCTTCACATGGTGAAGCTCAACAACTCCCTCCTTCACCATCTGCCTCACCCAGTGCCACTTAATCTTCATGTGCTTGTTCAGCCCATTTAGGATAGGATTATTGGCCATGCCAATAGCAGCCTCGCTGTCAGAGAACAATGGTGTAGGTCCCTGCTGTTCAGCTCCCATGTCCTCCAGCAGCTTCCTCAGGAGCACGATCTCCTTGATGGCATGGTACATCGCCATGTACTCTGCCTCTCCGGAAGACTGAGCAATCTCACTCTGCTTCTTGGACCTCCAGCTCACTGGTCCACCTCCGACCATGCACACAAAGCCGCCAACTGATGACTGATCCTCCTCCTCTGAGGCCCACGTAGCGTCGGTGAAGCACGACAGCTTCAAGGTTCCAGGCGTGATCCCATCTGCTCCAATCTGTTTCAGCTGGCCGCCAGCTGAAAACTGAACACCAGCAGATGCCGTTGATCCGAGGTAGCGCACCAAGCGCTTTGCCACCTCCAAATGCTCCTCAGTGGGCCGCTGCACAACTCTGGCCAGCTGCCCCACTCCAAATGAAGCATCAGGTCGCGTATGCACAGCTGCATACATCACACTCCCAATGAGTGACTGGTACTCATTCTGCTGCTCATCCTCAAGCACATCATCCTCCTCAGCTGCCTTCTTCAGTTTGAAGCCTGCAGGAAACGGTGTCATCACAGTGCGACCTCCAGTCACACCATAGCGCTCCATGACACCAGAGATGTAGTGTGACTGATGCACCTTCAGCCACCTCCTCTCAACATCCCTCTCAATCTGCAGCCCCAAGTAGTAGTGGACATCCCCCAGCATCTTGCACTTGAAGTTGTCCACTAGCAGCTTCTGTGCCCTCTCAATCTGCTCCATGGAAGGTGAGAACAGCAGTATGTCATCGACATACACCAGCAGCAAGAGCAGCTGCTCCCCCTCTCCAAGCAGGAACAAGCTGTGATCCGCTTGGGACGTCTTGAAGCCTCCACTCAGCAGCACCTCCTCCAGCTTCTCGTACCAGCACCTGGGCGCTTGCTTAAGGCCATAGATAGCCTTCTTAAGCTTGCACACCCGGCTGGTCCCATCCTCATAGCCGTCGGGCTGCGCCATGTAGATATCCTCCAGCAGTATTCCATTGAGAAACGCTGTGGTGATATCCATCTGCTTCACGTGCCATCCCTTCACAGCTGCACCAGCCATCACAGTCTTCAATGTTGCTTGCTTCACAACGGGAGCGAAGATCTCCTTGAATTCAACCTTCTCTTTCTGCTGAAACCCCTTGGCGACCAAGCGGCTCTTGAACCGCTCCAGCGCACCATCAGCTCCACTCTTCACCTTGAAGACCCACTTGCTGCTGATCGGCCGTCGCCCCTCGGGTAACTCAACAAGCTCCCAAGTCCCATTCTCAATGAGACTGTTGAACTCTGCATCCATGGCAGCCTTCCACTCCTCCTTCTGGGGTCCACTCAGTGCCTCCTCCACTGTGGCTGGTTCTCCAGGCAAGGGTGTGAAGAAACAGAAGGCCATCTCCTCATCCTCTCCCTCATCCGCCTGAACCGCCATGGCACCTTGCTTGGGTCCTCCCAAACGGCTATACTTCAGCCTTGAAGGTGCTGCTGCCACTCTCTTCTCGCGGGTTGCAGTCTGCTGCCCATGTGGTGAAGCTCCTTTCTGCACACTCCTCTTGGTGACCTTGGCAGTTGCAGCAGGCTCGGGCTGAGATGGTGAGTCCACACGTGCCGACTCATCCTCCAACCCCTCCTCCGCAGCAGGACCAGAAACTTGCTGCTCACCACCGCCACTGTGGTCACTGGTCAGCTCTGACCCAGGGAGATCCTCAAGGTGCAGCTGAACCTCCTCCACTGCAGACCGCTCAATCTCCTGCAGACGCAAGCCAATCTGCACCTGCTGCTGCTGCTGCCAGTCCTTGTACATGACGTCCTCCACAAACTTGACGTCACGGCTGACCAGCGTCTTCTTGCTCTTGGGGTCCCACATCAGCCACCCCTTCGAGTCAGGAGCCATCCCAAGATGGACAGCCCACACAGCAGCAACTTCCAGCTTGTGCCTCTGCTCCTTAGGCACCATCACAAGCCCCATGCAGCCCCACACCCGCAGCATGTCAATGGATGGCTTCTTCCCAAGCCAACGCTCGTACGGCACCCAGTGCTTGTCGCCAACGTGTGTCAAGACCCTGTTCTTGACCGTGATGACATGGCGAACAGCTTCAGGCCAGAACTTGTAGGGCATCCCTGCAGCCCCCAACAGAGTCTTAGCCGCCTCGCCAATGGTCCGGTTGGCACGCTCAGCAATGCCGTTCTGCTGCGGTGTTCCAGGGCAGGTCAGCTGGTGTCGAATGCCGTTCCTCTTGAGAAACTTGGTGAATTCCGCTCCAAGGAACTCTCCACCACGGTCGCTCCTCAGCACCTTCACCAGCCGCATCGCTTGCCGCTCCACCATCGGCAACCAATCCTCCTTGATCGCCGCTGCAGCATCGCTCTTCTTGGACAAGGGACGAGCCCATGTGAATCTGCTCCATTCGTCCACCATGGTGAGGAAGTACAGCACTCCCCCAGTCCCCTCCGTCCTCATAGGACCCACTAGGTCGATGTGCACCACCTCCAATGGTGCCTTGGCTGATCCCTCCGCACGTGGAAACGGGAACCGCGCAAACTTGTTTTGCATGCACGCCTCGCAGCTGCCATAGTGAGCGCCATCTCCTTGCAGCTGCAGCCCATGCACGCACTTCTCCTTGTGCATCACCTCCAATGTAGAAACAGCCACGTGTGCGAGCCGCCGATGCCAAGTCTCCCAATCCGCTTGGCCCGAGGTAGCCGACGCCTTCACCGCCGCACTTCCTCCAATCAGCTCCTCTCCTTGCACACCTTGCTGCTCCTCCTCAGTGACGCTCTCCTCCATTGATGCCACTGCTGCCGCCTTGCCCGATTTCCGCCAAGGGAGGACCGGGATCTGCCACATGCCCTTGTGGACACCCCCTTTCTGCCGCAGGTCCCAAATCAGCCGCTCATCGTTGTAGGCACGATAGCGCACCGAGCCAATCGTCTCGGTGTTCACACCTGCATCTCCCAACCGGCCGGTAGAAATCAGGTTCGCGCACAAGTCCGGCACCCACAGCACGTTCTTCAGCCCCACGAGCTCTCCATCCGCTCCCATGAACTTGGCGCATCCCATGCCCATGACCTTGGCCTTGGCGCCCGTCGCGGATCTGACTGTAGAGATGGGTGCGGGCTGAATCTCATCGAGTAGGTCCGCACGAGGAGTCATGTGCCAGGAGCTTCCCGAGTCAATCACCCAATGGGTGAGGGGGTGTAGGAGAACCTTGGCAGCCATAGCGAGGTCGGTTGCACCTTCGTTCACGAAGAAGAAGAACCCGGCCTTCCGCTCCTCAGATTTGCCGCCTTTCTCCTCATCCTTCTCCTCTCCACTAGCTCCCATGACTCCCCCACTCCTCTTGCCACCATGCTGGTTGCTTGATGAAGGCGGGGTCCAATCCTTGGGTCGTTGGTAGCACTTCCGCCAACGATGTCCGCGCTTCTTGCAGTAGAAGCACACCTCCCCTTGACCCCCGCCGCCATCCTCCTTCGTGTTGTCCTTATTTTTGCCCTTCCACTTCTTCTTGAAGCCACTCTTTCCACCTCCAACTCCATAGCCAGCCCCCTCCTCCGAGCGCTCCACACTCCGCCGCCGCAAGTCCTCCTCTAGGATGCGCGCGCGAATGTAATCCACGCTCCACTGGGGCTGTTGAGAGTTGAGGTTGATCGCAAGGGCAGACCACGACTCCGGCAGCCGTATCACGATCTCCACGCACTGCACGAGCTCCGGGTACACCACACCACCGCCTTGGAGCTTCGTAAAGATGTCGCGCATCTCGTCCAACACCGGTTGCATCGGCTCTCCATCAACGAACTTGATGTCGCGCAGCCGCCGCGCGAGTAGCACGATGCCG